AGTTGTAGTTAAAACCATCTTCAACAGCGTCTTCCAATCATGAGGTGTAAATACATATGTGGTACTCAATGTCTCCAAATACGAGAATGTATGAGACGAGGAAACACCACTTTCTTTAACAATTTGCCTCAATTCCTTGGTCACCTCATAGGGCAAGCTTTGGAACTGAGGGTTTTGGCGCGACCGGTATATTACTGGGCATGCATTAATAACTTTCCAGTCTCCCGTCTGCATTGTGTCCTCATGGCATTTTTCCCACTGGTTAACCGACACCCCTGCGCCTGTACTCTCGCTCTCGCCTGGAGGAACCACCGCCGATTCCTCCTCAGCATCCTCTGATGCCTCACTATCTGCGGCTCCAACATACTCGGCTCCCGGCAGTGGCATGCCAGAAGATGGCCACTGTAATGGGAAGGCACCCCCCCCGCTCACGCGGTCGGGACAAGATGGATGCGGAGTCAGAAGACACGGCTCAAGTTCTGGTCCATTTCGCGTGCAAGATGGCTGCACCTAGGTCACATTTCTTTTGCCACGTGGCCACGAGTCATCAGCAACAAGAGGGGGTGAGTTGTCTGGGTTCCCCTCCCCCATGCCGCAGCAGGAACCTTCAAACCGCCCTTGTGTACTGGATTTGCGATTTAAAATTCCTGCCCTTTCTCCGCAGCTCACGTGCACACCAAAACCGGGACCCTCACCACAGCTTACATTGCTCCCCCTCGCTCCTGCCCACGTGAAACCCAACCCAAGTCCATTGTTAGGTCCTCCTGGGTCGCACGTGGTTCTCCCCCACCCCCGTGTCTGTTCCTGGTGTCTGGGGAATGTCTGCGCCTAGCAGCATGGGTGGGGGGTGCAGGAAAATGTGTGTTAGGGTCTCTGGGGGGGTTCTGCTTTTTTTTGAGCGATCTGCAGAGCGTCCATGACTTGCGTCCAGGCAGGAAGGCATTTAGAGGCTTCTGTATTGCCTAACATAGATCTTTTTCTCATAGTCCTGCCAATTTTTTGCCAGGTGTTTATATTTAGAGCTTCTACGAGCAGCAGTCCTGGCGCAATGATTTTTATCCGTGGCAAGAGTTCTGTTATTTCTGCGCATGTGATCTCAGTGGGATATTGTCTTAGCAAGAGACACATTGCTTCTGCATCCCTTTCTATGTCCCAGGAAACCAAATTCCCCATGCTTTCTTTACCTGTTTTCTTCGCTGCTTTCCTCTCGCGTGTGTTTTCTCGCTGCTTTCAGTTCTCGTCGCTTTTGATTTTTGCCACTTCGACTTTCGGCGCTTTCGGTCTCCACCGCTTTCAACTTTCGCCGGTTTCGTTTCCTGCCGCTTTTGGCTTGCGTTCTCTGCCTCGCTTCTCCTCGCACGTGCACCTTCAATTTTTTTGAGCTCTGTTCAGTAGTGCGTCCTCCAACCATGTTCTGCGCTGAAATTTCAACACTTTTATCGATGTCTGGCTTTTTTCCGGAATGTGTTCCTGAGTTTTAGAACAAGCTAGTGCGAACTCAACCGCAATCTTTCTTGCTGCAAGGCAGTCTGATTATCCCTGTTTCAGGGAATGCCTCATGTTGCGGGCACCAGATGTGGCTTTATTAATATAATAAATAAATCACACGACCCGGTTGGTTGGATTCCCAACAACCAAATCCATTTTTTGGAAGCGAACAGCACCTTTTATATGCACTTCAAAACAACATGTGATTCTCTTAGCCAACCTCCATGGGACTTGCCACTGCCCATGTGTATTAGAGTATATTTTGGGGACTACATCTCCCAGGATGCCTCGTCCAGGATCCCTAAAACATGTTCCCCACAAGTTGAACCCATATTTTCCTTTTTCTTCCCATTAACTATGGAGCTTCAAAGTTATAAAGAGCAGAAACTGATTTTAGTATTGCAGTCAGCTGTTGACCAAGGAATGTTGCCAAAGTTCTGTTTCCTTTCTTGGTCCTGCTTGCTGGCTTGCTTATTATGGCAAAATCACTAACAACATCTAGAAGTTTCACAGTTTGTGCTGTGAGATTATTTGCTGTTTGTTAGATGTACAGTCATTTTGGTCTCTGTTCTGTTCTGTGTGGAGTATAATGAGTTCATTAGGTTGTGGTGCGGGATGCAGTTGATAGTATCTGACAGAAAGAATTGGAGTCATTTGGAGTGCATTCTGCAGAATCAAACAGCTGGAGAACATACATATAAGGGATGGCAAATATTTTGGGAATTGTAATGGAAAAAACTTTGCAGGAGTAAGATGACTGTGTTTATGTAGTAAAACTGCTAAAAACAATTTTTTGAGTGGAAAAAATAGCCTTTTATCTGCTTTTTTAATAGATTCCAATTGTATTCTCTATTTAAACAAATCCCTTAAACTTCTCTAGAAATTGTCCACTAAAAGAATGAAGTTTGACATATCAATACCCTATTGCAATACATAATGATTTTTTAAAAATCCATATAATTTCTGAAGTTGAATAATTGTGTGTAGGTTCCACTGTGAATCCCGGGGGGTTGTTTCTTTTATCTGCTCTTGAAATATATACATGTAAATAGCAGCATCAGTATGTGGGGAAGGCTTCTCAGCTAAATGAAGCCAATTTTGTAAAAGTGTAATTAGATTAAATGAGAAATTTAAATAATGGAATAAATTGGTACCTCTTTGTTAGCAAAAGGTACACAAGAAAAAATCTGGCTCAAGTTTAAAGAATTATTGGATTTGACTCAAAAGAAATATGTATACGCATAATTAAATACAACATTCAAATCAGAACAGAAGAGAGGCTTAATCAGTCAGATTATATGGAGACAACTTGTAGTGAATGGAGTGTAAGTGCCAAATTAAAACAGTGGGGAGCCTTTTGGTAAAGTTGTTTCTAAGGAGGGAGAATGTTGGTTGTTAGAAGTCCATAGGATTGGAAAAGCTGCAGTGCAAGCACTGCCAGAAGAGCACAGGAACTGATTACTGGCATAATGCTGAACTAGTTTATTTGCATTTCTGTTTAAGATGATCCTAATAAATTATTGATGCACAAAACTTGTAAGTTATGCTGCAGTTGTGATTAAAGCAAGAAGAGGTTGCTCCTGCAAACACAACCTTGAATTTAAATGAATGTAGTCTAAATTGTCAAAATAGACCAGGAAGCACTGTAAAATCCATCATTCTTGTTAGAACTTCTGTGCTTCATCATTATGTCAAAAAGGTTTCTCATAGAACAGGTTTGGGCAAAGCCAAAGCATTACTTAAATTTTATGTGTATGTGCGTAAACGCACAGGTATGTCAAGGTGGTACATTTTATTTATAAACTTATAGGCTTGGTAGATAAAATAGTTTACAGCTTTTTGCTCAACACATGTTGACTTCAGATCAGAAGTCAAGTGTTCACATTATCACAGGAACTATCCAGGTCTAGGATCATCTTCTGAAGAGAGTTCAGTAGAGGTAATTACAGCAAACAGTGATATGTGAACTGGAAATCTGTGGGTAGAAGAGGCTGAGTTTTAGCTTTGAAACAGCCGTTAGTGACTGTCACTTTTTTATTAACTTCTGCCAGTGGTAGTGCAAAGCCAAGGTCATTGAACTGAACCAGTTATAAAATTCTGAGGAAGTGTGTTATGGAACACGTTGTAGGAGAGTTAACAGTGTTGGAATTAATGAACTGAAAGGATTCTAGACTAAATGGAATTATATTTCCTGTGGTTTAGATTGTTCTTCTATTGGATCACTTTGTTTTGGCATAGGCATTTGGGTCTAAGATAACAATGTTTTTTAGAGTGCTAAGAGTGCACAGACCCCAGCTGCTTGCTTCTCCTAGAAAATGTGAAACCACAGACAACTTTAATCTTCTCACTGGCTTAATCTTTCTGCCTTTTCAGTTCCTCTGTTTATATAAACAGATTTCCTTAAAGCAAAGGGTTGTAGTGCCAACAGTAAAAATGAAGGGGTGGGTGTGTCTGACTAATCTGCTGCCTTTGAATCTTAATGCCTTTGTGCTTTGGCTAAGCTAGAATTACTAGGAAAAACTGGCTTAACAACAGTGGAGTGGGTACAGCGAAATAACAGGATTTCTCAGGCAGAGTATGTCCAATACTGATTTTTTTACTTTGGAGATGAGAATGAAAGTTTTTGAATAACAGGTCTCTAAAACAAGGATATATAGGAGAGTGAATGAAGCTTTTTTGATTATCAACCCTTCAGCTTTAGTGAGACTTGCTATATGGTGTTTCATTAAGGGCTTCTATTGTGAAAAATTATAGGCAAATTTATATAGCAGACAAAGGAAACAAAATTTTTACTTCAGTTGTTTGTGTGAGGATGTTACAGTACAAAACACATGTAGAAGTGTAAGATTACAGAAAATCGGAGATAAAGTTTAGTGTTCCTTTGAGATAGCATCAGTTAGCACAGTATAAACACACACTGTGTTTTGACATAGTGTTTCTGACAATATCTGTCAGTTTCCTTATACATTTATCTTACCATTTGCTCCAAAAAAAGCCAGACCTTATGATTGTAGCATTGTGCTGTTTGACCATGCCAATAGTGCAGAGTCAAGGGTTTCTATTCTGTATTTCTCAGTAGTTGTCTACAAAATTCAAACCCATTTATGCATGCAGACTCTTTGAAGGTTGCAATGCAGCTGCACGCAGCTATCTGTGACGGGAACACCACATTGGTTGGACAATCTTTTGAATTTCTTTTTAGAAGTAAGGCTCTTGGTGTGATACTTGAAGCAAAGGCTGCAGTTCTTATTCTCCAGAGAGGAATATTCTCAACATATTATGGACAAGCATGTAATTATTGATATGTTTTACAGATGTGGAGTGTTTTGGAGATTTTGGGGAGTTTTTTCTTCAAAGACTGTCTGAAAAAAGTTTAGTAACAGTTACGGTAATGGTTGTGGATTTTTATCTTACTGTATATGAGATATAGATGGAAACAGATTTGATCGTATGATGAAGAACTTTATGGCAGCTAAAGTTGCTTTCTGACTTCCCTATTCTTTATTTTCTAGGCGGCAAACAGTAACAAGCACTCCTTGCTGGATTGAACTTCATCTGAATGGACCTCTACAATGGTTGGACAAAGTATTAACTCAGATGGGCTCCCCTTCAGTACGCTGCTCCAGCATGTCGTAAAACTCCTTCCTCTGTTACCAGTGGGCTAAACATCGAGTCCAATCAACAGACTTAATATAACAGTTCATCTGTCATAGTACTTGTGTGTGGTCCCCATGAACTGTTCACCATCCAAAAATGTTTTGTAAAAAGAAAAAAAAAGAAAAACAGCACTTGAGGTCTCATCAATTAAAGCACCTTGTAGATTCTGTTTCCTGTACTCTGATACTAGATGAAAATTTAGTGTATAGAAATGCCTTCTTCAGAAAGAAGATGGAACTGTTCTCAAGACTCTTAATGGTGTTTTTATTGGGTATATAATTGAGTGTCCTAATAGTTTATCAATAACATGAATAACTAAGTAAATGTACATGTATCATGATCTCAAATATCACAGTATTGTGCTGTTCTACATTTTAGTTCCCATAAATAGTTGTTTGGATTTTTTTGATTGGGGCAAATCTCTTATAAAATTCCAAGACTCTACTCTGTTATTCTTTTATATTTTTTATATAAGCAGGTTTTCGAGTTGTCCTAAACATAAAAAGCAGACTTTATTTGTAGAAAAGCTCATCTTTTTGCTGCCTTCTTAAAGAAAAAGAAGATCCCTCAATTGGAAGGGAAAGAAATGTCTTTAAGATTTCACAGATGAATCTCAAGACACTTTATATACCTAATGGGGCCTAAAATCAATTAATATTATAAATTCCGGCTATCCATCTGTGCTGGTTTAAAAGTTAACCAGCAAGGCAAAATGAACTCAATTCAAAAGAGAGATTTATAAGTCAGAATAACAATTTATTAAAATAATGCAATAAGTACAATTATACAGACAGACAATTGGTTTTAATCCACAAAACCCAAATGTACAAACCCAGCACCCTGGGGTATGAACAAAAGTGGTGTACCTTGGCCCACCCCCCGAGTCTAAAGCAAAGGGAGAGGGAATAAACCTGCTGGTGGGAGAGCTGCTGCAGTCTGGTCAGAAGTGGTGATTGCAGTCCAGTCGAGGGTGGTGGTCTCAGCCTGGTTGGGAGCAGCGGTGGTCTGCTGTCTTCCTCTGGGTCCCACGAGAGAGAGCCCCAAGGCTCTGAAATTCCCAGTTATATACTCTCCAGTTCAGGCGGGGGTGCTCAGTCCCTCCCTCAGAGTAGGGAATTCCATAAAAGGGCATGCGGATGCTCAGTCCCTCTTCCATAAAAGGGTATTAGAGCAGGGAATTCCATATAAGGATATCAGAGCGGGGAATTCCATAAAAGGGTACAGGAACATCTTCCCACCTTGCAGGCCTCTACTGACAGCAGTTTTTGGGAAATGGCATGGAGGCTATAGAATACACAGTTTTGGGTTACACCCATCCAGGGATGAATTGGTCCCAGCCGTTCTAACCAGGACACCATCACACTAAGAATATACGTTTCCCTACTCATCTGAGTTGATGCATCTGGTGCCAGAAGTATTGTTGGCAGTTGTGTAATTTGGGACATTTTTTGTACCTCAAATCATCAAAGTCAGTGTTTTTTCTCATGGAATGAGAATTTACTGTAACATTGGATGCTGGATTAAGTACACGAGGTTATTGGCTTACCCCTTACATCTGTATTTTTTCATTGAACAGATGTCACTAAAAATCATTAGGTTGGAGCCAAATACCCTGAAAAATCCTTTCCCAAGGTAAACTACTCTTTTGTCTAGGTTTTAAATAGATGCAGCTTCTTAACATATTTCAGTAACAGAATTTAAATTTTTGATCTGCGTGGCTTTCTATAGCTTACTTGCATACCAGATCATACACATTCATTATGTCATAATGGGTCTTGTTATTAAAAGTAGTTGCTTCTCCAAAACCTTTAGGATAGTGGTTGCTGAGGTATGACTGGCAAAGGAGGACTTCTAGGCTCTTTGTGACAGTGCATGTTATGGTGAACTCTTGTACACTACAGCTGCACCATATTGAAAATATTCTGAAATATATTCTACAAATAAGCCTGGGTTGGGGATGGATCGGGAAACTATAGAAGGATTATTCTGACTTGAAAAATATGCATCTTACTAACAAGCTTGTGATGTAGCTGTCATTCTTCTGTTATTGTGGCAGTAGCAGGATTGCCTTTGTCTGTTTTCCCGTCATTTCATCCATTACACTAGTACTGTACTTTGTAAGTACAGCTAGTGATAGTTTTGAGAACAAAAATATGGCCAGTGTTACAGCTTTTAATCTGTTGACTGAATTGATGATTGTGATGGATATTTTTATGCCATAATGACTAGGACATAGAAGCAATACCAAAAATCAAGCCTTGAAAATGTGTGCCAGACACCTTTCAAAAATTGGCAAGGCAGTTACCAGTTTATGCTAGTTTTACCACTAGACTAATGTATTGGTAGAACTTGTGAACCTCAGAAATAAGCTTCATGTGTGTTGCATTTGCCTAATATGTGAATACACTAATAAAACTTTTAATTCTCATGATGGTTTGGTTTCTTTATTAATTGCTGTCTATATTTTCTGTTGAAGGTTAGGAGTCATTCTAACCCGCCCAAATAAATGGCACAAGTGTCCTGCATGTTGTGGCTGGAAAGGTATAGTTAAGATGTTAAAATCACTTCTCATATAGCTGTTGTGGAGGTTCTGGATCTGTGTGTGTTTAGTGATACAGACTTTTACTCCAGATCAAGTTTATTAAAGCAGTTGCTTTTTCCTACCACAATCAAATTGCATCCTACTAGCTCAGATGTTTACTTTCACCTGTGAAACAGATAAGAGCGACTTGTCTGGGTGAAAGACTCCCATTGCATTTATGAGCAGGTTACAACTTAAACCAGTTGGGTGACCTAATTCTGTAGTCCCCTTACCATGGATTTCTGTATGTGTTCTTTCAGTTATGACAATATATTTGCTTTGCCTTGAGCATTGTAATTAATAACCTTGACTGTACCCCTTTTTTGGTGTGCACTTCCAAGGAGTGTACAAGGACACTGCAGACGTTATCTGTGGACCTGTGGTGCTGCCTGTGTGCAAGGCCATCTCAGTCTGTGTAGGTCACTTTTTTTTAACTTCTGTTAGTACCACTAAAATATTGTCTCCTGGAATTGCTGTTTCAGCCACAGCACAAGGGAATTTATCTGCATTTGAAACGTTTGCTTGCCTATATTTCATTTAAATGCCTTTGTCAGTTCTTGAGTAACTTTAACCTACTCCTGTTTCTTAATCCAGTGCTTTTCTGACTTATCCCACTGCTTTTCTGCTCTTCAAAATATGAACAGTGCCTGCTCAAGCATCTTAATGTGGAATGTCTGTGGTACGTGAGGAATGCAACTTCATCCCTCTTCTCTTCTGCCAAAGTACTGATGTCCAAAGTACAAATGAAAAGTGAATTTTTTTTCAATGAGGCTGTTTTGTAAAATAAAATACTTACCAAGCAGGGAGTACTCAAGTGGAAATGCTTTAAGTATGGGTAGCCAGCTGCTTATCTGTATCATGAAGCAGGAAAAACTCTGTATGTAACTGGTGCCTTAAGTTTGAACTATGATTCTGTGAGCCTGGGTTCTGATCTCTCTCTTGTCACTAGCCCTGTCTGAGCTTGATTTTCATAGTATTGCCAAAGCCAAGTAATCAAAAATCAGATAGTTGATGCAAAGACCCAGGTGTAAAAATTATTTTTGAGTTGCCTTTTGGCAACTTGGGTGCACTGAGCTGAGATTTCAGAACCCTTCCCCTCCAAATTAAAACCTGATTTCATTTTGACATTGCTTCAGGGATGAGGCTTTGAGAACAGTGTCAAATACCTGGACTCTTGTGGCTTTAAATTGTGAGAATTGATAGCAGAGCATCTTCTCTGTGTATTTCCCTCTTCCTTTAGTGCATGTTTCCTATCTAGGTGGTTGTTATGGTTTAGCTAAATGAAGAAGATTTTCTTGCTGAATTTTTTCATTTCATCAGTGTGGTTTTGGAGGACTCAGGGGACACCTCCCCTCTCTTCCCCCATGTGGGGAGGGGGGCAGGGAAGGATGAGGGTCCCCACGAGAAGTGCCACAAGAACTCAGGAAGAATAAAAATTGCCGGAGCCATCAAAACTGTCTCTCTCTGACTTCTGGGGCTATAGTTCAGAAGCAGTCACTGGTCACTCACCGCCCGGACCTGCCTCGCTGCCGGCCCCCCCCGTACCCCATGCTTCCTGCCTCGCTGCTAGCTCCCATGTGGACCTGCCTTGCTATTGGCCCCCCCACGCCATCTTGCCTTGCTGCTGGCCCACGTCCCGGACTTGCCCTGCATCCCAGCTCTGCCAAGTGGGGGTTCTCCCATTTGTTACTGCTACCACCAGCGCCTCTGCCCGAAAGCCACTGCTTCCTGCCAATTGGAGCCCTGCCGCTACCGCCTCAGAGTAATTGCCACTTGTAGTTGCCATCATTGCCATCGCCTGCCGCCATTACCCACCGTCGCTGCTCACCCCGCGCCACTAGCGCCACTCCACATACTGGTACTTCCCCCCCCAACCTTGCTCTGCACATGACCTCTGTCAGGATTGTGTTGCCATCTCGGCAGCATAGACTGAAAGAGTGGGTTTAAATGACATTTTCTCTGTTATTGTTTGGGTTTTGTTTTGTTCCCTTTTTTTTTTTTTTAGTAAAACTGTTATTGATTTTCATACTTCACTTGGATGCCTCGTAATTTTAGGGGTGGGGGGTTTCTATTCCATCAGAGGCCCCGCCTCCTTGGACATATTGTCAGTAAACCAAGACAATAAATGTGAGGCATTGTATTAGGAAAGGGTTCGGATCATACTGAAATCTGAAACCATGATGGCATTGAAAGCTCAACAAAACTGATATTTATTACCAAGAGGTGGCCAACAAAACGAATAAACCCAAAAGAGAGGAAGGAGGAGAGAAATAAGCCTTCAGTACAACCTCCCCAGTCACCCAACTGTTGCATATAAAGCTATCTTACCATCCCAGAATGCCTATAGTTACCCATAGCAGGAGCTGCATTCCCGGAGAGAGTAGGCTCACAAATTGGCAGGTGACCTCGCCAAAAGGCAACGTTGTCCTTGATGTGAAGCTTGCTACCCTCCAAAAAAGAACTATCTGCTTTTATACAATTAACTGATTACGTCTGCCTAGGCAGGTGTGACCAGC